GAATGCACACCCCCTAAAGCAAAAAAAACCTCTCAAAAAAAAAAAAAAAAAGAAAAAGAAAAAAAGAAGTATTCTTGCCAAAACTGTGTCCCTTGAGTCATATTAAGCTGTCAGACCCAAACTTGTAATTTACATAAATACAGAGGGTAAATGGAAAAGGAGGATGACAACACAAAGAAAAAATATGGTAATTAATATATATATATATTATATATATATATGTTGGGGACTAGCAAGTGGCGTGGCGGTTAAGGGCACTGGACACCCACATGGCCAATCGTGGTTTAAGTCCTGGACCGGGCGGCTTGCTTTCTTGTCCCCCTCACTCTATCCCTCTCTTGTCAAATTAAAATAAATAAATAAACAAGTAAAGAAATAAAAAATCATTCTAAAAATCAGAAAAACATATATATATATATATATAGGTTGGTGTGGCCGGAGGTGACCTTGGAAGAGTCTTGAATGTCATGGCGACTTTCTCCTCCTCTGGGTATTTAGGCAGCCACAGAGGGTTAGGGGTCTAGTTAACAGAAGGCTGGATTTACTGGAAGCCGGAGAGGTTGGCTGTGGGTCGCATTCATGCTGCACTTCTTGTGGGCAGAGGTGGTGCCCAGAGGGGGGGCTCGCAGGTATTTGAAGTACAGGGCAACCAGGATTGGGTGAGAGACTGATGGGCAGGACACTATGCCCCCCCCAAGCTCCTGGCCTTCAAGGCAGGAAGCAGAGCTCAGGGAGCGGCTGCGTTCTGTCTATGGGAGGCCGTTAGAGACCTCTGCGGGTGTTCTTGACCTTTTGGGGTTTCCTTTCCAAGCTTTATTAAGATATGATTTACATATTATAAAAGTTACCATTTAAAAATAAATTCCATTTCCTCCATGAAAGAAAGAAAAGGGGAGAGAGAGAGAGAGACAGTCACCCCCAGCAGGGTCACCCCACTGCCCTCCACCCCAGCTCAGCCGGCCAGGATCACAGGGATCGCCTTCCGGATGCGAATTTGGGACCTTGCCAGGTAGTTTCAACATCCCGGAGTATTTGTTTTCTTACCACTGCGCCCCTAGGACTGGCCCCAAAGTCACTCCCGTTTTTTTGTTTGTGTTTTAGATTTTTGTCACAAGGCACATGCACTGGCCAGAGAGACAGAGAGAGAGAGAGGGCAAGTGAGAAATCAGCCCCCGGGGAATGGCCAGCTGCAATCCCTTCTCCTCCATTCTCCTCTGGGGACTTAGGGCACGCACGCATGCCTGCATCTGGCGTGAGTTTCCTTTTTGGCTTTTGAAAGAGACATTTTTGCTATAGGGTGTGTACGCTTACCAGAGAGACAGAAAGCACGCCATCTTCTGTGTCTGTCCTCAGTGATTTTTTTTTTTTTTTTTTTGGAGAGGTTTTTGCTATAGGCACATGCACTTGCCAGGAAGATAGAGACAGAGAGACAGAAAGCGAAAAATCACCCCCCAGGGGGGATGGCCATGCCACAATCCCTTCTCCTCCATTCTCCTCTCAGGATCTTGGGCACACATGCACGCACACATACCCAACATTAGTTTAAGCCACTGGGTCTGGGACCTGAGCCGCAGTCGACTACATGGGAGTCCAGCGACATAGCCATTACGCTAACTGCTGGTCCCTCCATCCTCAGTGATTTTTAAGACTAAGTTTGGCCTTCACTATTGTATTATCTCAGATCTCCTGGTATTGGGTTGTTGGAAAGTCATGACACATATTTGCATAGAAAAACAGAAAAATATGTTATGACTTTTCTGATGGCTTAATATTTTTTCCTTCCTTTTTAAAAAAATATTTATTTAATTTTATTCACTTATTCATTTCTTTTAATTTGACCAGAGAGAGACAGAGAGAGAAGGAAAGTGAGAAGGCAAGCCACCAGGCTCAGGACTTGAACTGCGGTCGGCCATGTGGGAATCCAGTGCCTTAACCATCACGCCACTTGCTGGTCCCTCCAGCATGATTTTCAAGTTGTCAGGACCTGGACTCAAACCTGGCAGTTGGCCCTGTGGGATCCTGTACCTAACTACCACTCCACCTGCTGGCCCCAAACTTACAGCGCAGAGTTCAATGAACTGGAGAGTATTTATAGACCTGAAATAACCAAAACCACCATCGAAGGTCAGAACACTGCCATCGCTCTGCGAAGAAGAGTGATGTATTTATAGGCATTTTCTCAACCTCTTAACTAGGCTAACAGTGTTCCTACGTGTAAGAGCCCCATTTTACAGCTCAGGAAACTGAGGCTCAGCGAGGCAAAACCATTTGGCCACAACCCACAGCAAAAAACGAACAAGACCGGAAGTTGAACACAGGCCCACATGGTCCTCAGGTTTTAACAACATTGCTAGGTTACATTGAGGGCTTCTTTCTTTCTTGATTGATTCGAATTATTTATTTTATTTTACTTATCATTATTTTTTAAATTTTATTTAACTTTCTTATATTTATTTATTTACATTTGACCAGAGAGGGCCAGAGTGAGAGAGGGTGAATGAGAAAGCAAGCCACCAGGTCCAGGACTCGAACTACAGGCAACAATGTGGGAGTCCAGCACCTTAACCACCACACCACCTGCTGGCCCCATTTTTAATATTTTTCTAAGGTTTTTGCCTTAGGTCACCTGTGCTCGCTGGAGAGACAGAAATTATCCCCAGGGGAGATGGCCGCACCACAATCCCTTCGGCATTCTCCTTTTGGGATTTTGGGCACACACACGTACACCAGTGTGATTTTTTAAAAAAATTTTTTGAGAGGTTTTTGCTATAGGGCACGTGCGCTCACCAGAGACAGAGAGAGACAGAAAGCGAAAAATCACCCCCCAGGGGGGATGGCCACACCGCAATCCCTTCTCCTCCGTTCTCCTCTCGGGATCATGGGCATGCACACACACATGCCTGGCATGAGTTTAAGTCACCAGGTCCAGGACTCGAACCGTGGTTGGCTATGTGGGACTGCCCAACACCTTAACCACCATGCCACCTGCTGGGCCCCATAAATGAAATAATTCAAAAAAAAAAAAAAAACTGGGAGATAGATCTCTTATGGCTGACCACGGTTCAAATCCCAACCCTGGAGGCTTAACAAATATTCCAGGCGTGTGTGCCCAAAACCCTGAAAGAAGGGAGAGGTGGAGGAGAAGGGATTGCAGGGTGACCATCCCCCATGGAGGTTGTTTTCTCATTTTCTCTCTCTCTATTTCTTTTGGGTAAACTCAGGCACCTCCTGACAATTAAAAAAGAATTTTCTGAACTCTTTCACAACACTTAGGGACTTCTCGTCAGTTTCCTGCACGCTCTTAACATTCCTGTCTGTTTAGGTGGTTGGGTGTGCTTTGCAGACAGTGAAGTGCTGAGGCTCCCAAGGCAGGGGCCAGCTCCCTGCCCGCCAGTGACAGGGTCACTAGACCCTGGGCATTCCCCCTTCCCCTTTGTGTCATGTCCACAGAGTTCCTGGAACACTGGATGAAACTGTCCCGCCAGTTCTAAGCCAAGTTCATTCACTCAAAGCTCAAGGTTCCCCACAGGGCCAGCCCTGTCTCCTCCCCTGTCCCTGGGCTGGAGGTTGCAGGGCCTGTGACAAGTGCCATTTCCCTTCTCTCTGTCCCCAGGGTTCCCGGAGCGCGTGGAGCTGCAACCCCTGCCCCCCTGGCAGCCCGTGGGTGAGAACCTCACCCTGCGCTGCCTGGTAGAAGGAGGTGCGCCGCGGGCCCACCTCGCAGTGGTGCTGGTCCGTGGGGAGGAGGAGCTGAGCCGGCAGCCAGCCATCGGGGAGCCCGCTGAGGTCACGGCCACGGTGCTGGCCGGCAGAGGGGACCACGGTGCCAATTTCTCCTGCCGCACTGAGCTGGACCTGCGGTCCCAAGGGCTGGAACTGTTCCAGAACACCTCTGCCCCCAGGCAGCTCCGAACCTTTGGTGAGGCTTGGGGAACCTTTGTAGAGGGGGTAGGCTCAGGGCTTGGACCTCCTGGGAAGGAAGGGAAGGTCCCTGGCCGTGGGGGTACTGAGGTGGTGACCAGGGTGGCAAAAGCTTCTGGGAGGAGCATGTCCTTGGTCACTAGGGTGGGGTGTGCTGGGATGGGGTGCCCCGGGGCCACAAGATCCTCTAAGACGGCAGTGACCCTGGCTGAAGGGGACTAATGGGTATGCGTGTCATCAACCTGAAAACAAAACAGAAAATGTCCCCAGTAAAGAACGTGGGGAAGGGGCCAGCATGGGGCGTGTTGGTTAGGGCTCTGGATTTCCACGTGGCCCATCTCGGGTCGAGTCTGGGACCAGGCGGCTTGAAAATCACAACAGATAAATACAAAAATAAAAGTCATATATATATATTTAAAAACAAGTCAATAAATAAAAAGAGCATGGGGACATCCATCCCCCTCCCTACTCACGCCCACCGTCTCTCTCTAGCTCTGCCAGCGACAGGCCCACACCTTGCCACCCCCCTGGTCGTGGAAGTGGGCACGCCGTGGACCGTGGTCTGCTCCCTGGATGGGGTGTTTCCTGCCTCGGACGCCCAGGTCAGCCTGACGCTGAGGGACCTGAGGCTGAACTCCACAGTCACACGCCGCAAGGACACCCTCTCGGCCAGGGCCTCAGGGATGGTGACCGCGGAGGAGGAGGGCACCCAGTCGCTGGCATGCACCGTCACTGTAGGAAACCAGCGCCGGGCGATGCAGAAGAACGTGACTTTTTACAGTAAGCTGGAGGAGGCGTGGCTTCGGGGCGGGGCCTCGTGGAGGCGTGGTCTCACGGGGTGGGGCTTTCCCAGGAGATGGTCTTGGGGGCGGGGTCTCCGAAGGCGTGGCTATTTGGGGGCAGTGCTTTGCGGGGCGTGGCTTTTTGTGTGGGCGGGGCTTTAGGGTGGGGCTGACACTGTGCTCCGCCCCAGGCTTCCAGGAACCCAGCCTGACCCTGAGCCAGCCTGAGGTCTCAGAAGGGACAGAGGTGATTGTGGAGTGCAAGGCCCAACCTGGAGCAGTGGTGACACTGAGTGGAGCCCCTGCCAGGACACCCAGCTCCTCTGATCAACTGCGGGTGAACGCCACTGCCGAGGACAACGGGCGGCGCTTCTCCTGCTCAGCTGCCCTGGAGGTGGCCGGGCAGGTGCTGCATAAGAACCAGACCCGGGAGCTCCGTGTCCTGTGTGAGTGGGGTTGCGGGAATATGGCTTCTGCCCTCCGAGGCGTGGTCCTTAAGGCCCTGCCTGCATGTTTACCCTCCAAGTCCTGCCTTCACCCTGAAGAGAATCCCTCCCCAGAGTCCTACCTAAGACTTCCAGTCCCAGGTAATGAGGGGTGTCCTGGCTCCCGACTGTCCTTCACCTTTGAGTTTATTTTATTTTTTATTTTATTTTTTTGAGAGTTTTTTTTGCTATAGGGTGCGTGCGCTCGACAGACAGACAGAGAGAGACAGAGAGACAGAAAGCGAGAAATCAC